TTGCTGCCCAATGCTACAACGTAGTGAGATTGTAGGAAGAATTTGGTTGCGGCCTCCTCGCCAAGTTTCATCTTTATCATTTCCTGAGTTCCTTGAAACAATTCGATTTGCTTCGAAAGTGAAAATCTTTGAATCTGGAATGCAATTTTTTTATCCATCATTGCAGAAAAGTATGAAGAGCAGTTTGTTTGGATTCAACTAAGGGTTAAATTTGTTAGATGACTTGTAATAAGGTTTAGAAAACCGGATTGGACCGGCCTGACCGGCCTGTTTAACTGTGAATCAGCCAGAGGTTTGGTTCCGATCGGCATAAAGAACCCCTCACATAGAACGGAACAACCTTGAATTGGATTAAACCGGTGGTTCAACCCTAGAACCGGCAAACTGGCACTGGTTCCAAGGAACCGTTCGGTTCACAGGCATTTACATCCTTACTACCCAATTCTTATGTATTTACATATCTAACACCTAAATTTTATTTTATTTTATTCATTTTTACAAAACAAATCTTTGAAATCATATCGAAGATACAATAATTTTAAGAGTTAAATATTATTTAATTAAGTCGAGCCACAACGAGCCATATACAATCAAACAAAAATTTATTCGTATTCTGCTAGTTTATAAATCGAGCTAAAAAAATGTATTCGTGTTTGGCTCGTTTGCTTAACAAACGAATCAAACACGAGCTGTTGGCAAGTTTTAGCAATCCTATCTATAGGACAATATCTCATATCTAAACTTTCAACTTATATAGGATTTTGGTGTTTTAAACCTCTGCATGAGAATATCTGTTTCACTTTTAAAAAGTGGTAGGTATTTATATGAAAGTTTAGGTGTGATATATGTAAATATATAAGAATTGTGTGTTATTTATGTAAATGCCGCTACAATTTACTACATTTTTAATTTACAGAAACTATATCAATCAAATGAGATAGAATTTTAATACTTACAAAGAGAGATGAAGTTTCATTCAAGATGCCACCACCTCCTGATGCATAGCTAACTCCACTGTTTAGTATAGTTTCGTCATCCAGTGAAGGGTCCAGGAAAGCTGGCGGCCTTGGAAGACCCATTTTGTCACCTGAAATAGAAGGAGACCAGACCTTCTCATTATTCATCTCTTGGGCCATTTACATTCATACCACTCAAATCATAGGTATTTACATATCTAACACATTTTTTTTTCTCTTTTTTTATGTTTATACCACCCATATCTTTCCGATCACTAAAAAAAATGCCATTATTTTAATTTTAAAAAGTAAAATACATATTTTTCATATGCATGGGTAAGATAGCATGTACCTAAAAATTACAGTTTAGGTGTTAGATATGTAAATACATATAATTAAACAAGAGATTTTTAACTAGCTGAAGATAGGCTGTTTGCCTGTGACACTTAATTTCATGAAGTTTTATTTCTTTGTCGGAATAAATTCTTAATTAGATTTCTTAAATCTGAATTTACTTTATAAAAGAGATGGAATACTGAACACAAAAATAATCGCTTTATTGTAGCGTTGGATTTATGTTGGTGTTTTGATTAGATTTAAGTTAAACCAATACTAAATCCATTAAAAATATGCTACCAAACACCCCCTAACATTGAATAAGTTAAATCTTAAGGGACTACTCTACTCATAAGTAGGGCCGTAAGAACAGCTCGCTGTTCGCAAACAGCTCGTGTTCGACTCATTAGAAAGCTCATATTCAGTTCGTTCGCTAAGTTAACGAGCCGAACACGAACAAAAATTTGTCCGTTCGTGTTTGACTCGTTTTGGCTTGAAATACCACTCACCAATTATATATATTGAGGAGTAGTATTTTTAAAAGTTTTAATTGACTACAATGCTACAAAGATTTGAAATCAATTAAAAGTATTTGTTAAGGAATTAGAATAAAAATTATTAAATTAGATTCAAATGATGTTTTCATATAAACAATAATTTTTAAATCTGGTCCCAATCCTTGACATCTTAAAACTACATGCATAGGGTTGTCAAAATGACTCTTTGTTCATGAACAACTCGTGTTTGACTTGTTAAACAAACGAACTGAACACAAACATACTTTTTGAGCTCGAAATATGCCTCGTTTACACCCCCTACTCATGACGCAGTTATCAACAAGATCAAATTCCATCATAACACTATCAGATTCTCTTCAATCAATTTACTAACAAAGACAGAACTTTACCGACTATATCCGCAATGGTGCGGCCATTAGTGAACCTTCCATTCGGCACTCCGCTGCCGAAATCAATCCCATACCACGGCAAGGCAGCACGAGCCAAGCTCTTGGTGAGATAGTTATTGTTCCCAACATCCGACAGCGAATCCCCGAACACAAACTGGACAACTCTGCAGTAGCATCTTCTTTCTCCCCACCCTAAAGCTGCAAGCAGAAGAACGAAAATGGTGGCCCTAACTCTTCCCCCGAGCTCATCCATTTATTGCTGCGCTGGGGGCTGGGAGCAACTTTTGTGGGGTTATTTAATCAGAGGTGAGGGGAGGGAAGTTTTTGGAGTGTGGTTGAGAGTGGAGTTGAAGAGGAGGGAGAGGGGAGTTGGAGCTTGGGGAATTGGAAGCGTTGGATGAACAAACACTGACCTAACTTCAGCTGATGATGTGACTGGCATTTTAGTTAGGACGGCTTTGGGAAGAGGGTTCGGCTCGGGTAGATTGGGTGGGTGCCAACATGTTCCGGGCTTTGGGTTTATTGTTGGGAATTTCGCAAACAGTATCACACAATTCTTATATTTTTGTAGACTAACACCTGATATTATATATTTATACAAACATGCATATGTAAGCATGGGTTTCAAGAAAATCCAATGATCCTTAGTGACAAACACTGAAGGGCGATGTAACAGACGTCATTTCTTTCGGTCGGAACGCTGAGTCGATCGAACGGATGAACATCAAATGAAGAGACAGAGGGTGCCTAATTCCAGGGAAAATCGCTATTCTGGAGCTTCTCATAAAACATGGCCAAAGGGCCCTCATTGAACTTCCTCTTTGACTCTATAAGAATGTTCCTTGTCCAAGGAAGGTTCCCAATAAATTAGGGTGGTATGTTTTTTATGCATAAAAAGTGTATTTTACTTTTCAAAGTTTAAATAGTATTATTTTTTATGTTTTTATGTGATGTGAAAGATTTGGGTGAAAATATTAAAAAAGGGTTTGTGTTAGATATGTAAATACATAAAATGTTCTGTGGTTGTGGTATGTATGTAAATTTCTTTTTTACATATATCACATTATTCTTATCTATTTATTCATTTAACACCCATAGATTGATATATATATATATATATATATATAAATATATATATAATACTTGTGTTATAAATACAAGAAAAAAGTATATTTGGCTTTTAAAGTAACACTTAGGATTATATTTTTTATGTGATGTTAAAGATTTGAGTGGTACTTGTTAGGTATGACTCATATATCAGAAATTTGGAGTCTCTTAGATTTGAAGAAGTGTGTCTCCTGAAATGAAGAGGTGTGTCGCTTGGTGTGAAGAGGTGTCTTTTGGATTAAGTGTCTTTTGGATTAGTGGGTTGGGAGGAGCGAGGGCGTGTTTGTAATTATCTGTGGGTTTTATCTATAAATAGATGTGTAACCTTATGGATATATAACTCCCTCTCTGAAATAATGAAATTTGCCGCTCGCTCCCGAGGATGTAGGCATCTTTGTCGAACCTCGTTAAATTTCTGTGTTCTTCTTCTGAATTTGCGTCCTTAATTTCACAACAGTACTTTTTTGATATGCAAAGATTTGAGTGGTGATTTTTGATATGAAAGTTTAGCTGTTATATAATGTAAATATGTAAGAATATAACTTTTATTCCTTTATTACTATGTATTCGTAATAATTTATTTCAGGTTGATAAATTAATGGTAGAATATGACAAAGTGAATACGTTTATTACCGTTTATGATAGTAAATGACTACCGATGTGTCATTTATTATCATTAAGAAAAATGTTGGTCATTAGAAGGAATGATTTCAGCTATTACGTTTGGGTCCACCTAACTGAGTTAGCAGGTCTAATTCGAACTTAAAATTTTGATTTTTAACCTCATTTTGATTCAACTACCCCTATAGTTATTCATTTATTTTATTTTCTTAATCTAACTTCGTTTGTATTAGTTTATTTATATCGCTTGATAAGCTATTATTTATACTATTTATGCATATTTATAATTTTCTTAAGCAGCTTGTTAGGTTTGGTTCATGTACCACATAAGGGATAGATGCTGGAGCGGAACGAAGTGAGCCAGAAGAGCTATGCATGCTAGCTCCACTCCGTTGACTCGCTTCATTCAGCTGCAGCATCTGTCCAATCGGGCGGAGCTTCGTTATGTGTGTTGGAGGTGTGGGCACAACGCCCCGTCGTACGGTACATAGGTAATTTTGTAATTACACATTGTACACAAG